CACAGCGATTCACACACTTTACTTACGGTGCCTACTGTTCGCTTGACTCAATTATCACTATCTTCAATCTGTCTGCATATCTCTCTATCGCTGGCTTATATACTAAAAAAGAGGGCGTCTAGCAAACGCTGGGATATTCGTGAGGTTCCCCGATAAGTCATGATCCTTCTAGAAACTCTAGCGCGCATGCTCCCAGAGTCGCGTGACTTCCGCTGTCGTAACAGTATGTTACAAAATAAACACCACTTACTTACAAAAAGAACTTAAATATCTCTTAAAGCCAATAGATAAGGCTACAATACATTATTATTGATGTTTTTCACCCTCGTTAAGATATTTTTAAAAATTTTGTCAAAAAATGTATAGGCATTTTTAATGAAAAATTATAGCTTTGTGCACCATCACATTCTTTGCCTTTTCCAGAACAAATTTTCGCATGGTTCAATCTATAAGGTTTTATCAAGAAGAACATTTGATCATAACATAAAAATATACAGAAGGCAAAATTATATTGAAAGATAACTTACAGGAGATGACCAAATATACACAAAAAATGCTTTTTTGAAATACTCGGGAAATAATAAGCATTTTCCGTTCGTATAATGTCACTCCAATATAATTAATTTTTAGAAAACATGGTCATAAAACATTTATTTAGATTATATTTTCAGAAGTAAAATTATCACCACTAATCGTCTTACGGCATAGCTAGCCATACATGTATATAAAACTCGCGTTTACGGTTAATATTTCCGATTTTGCATATCAGCAGGTCTGTTGATAATATTGAATTGAAGTACATTGGTAGTATTGTACTTAACTTTTTAAATTATATATATATAAATAATTGATTACAATAGATGAAAAGGAAGACATTGAACAGACAACATCCGAACCATTAAAAATGAAATTACAGGAAATAAAATAGAAAAATAACTACAAAAATATCATGACGTAGCAAACGAATTTAATCTTGAAAATATCACAGAAAATAATAATATTCTAAGGATTTCTTCCTTCTTTAAATTCTCGGTAAGGTCACTGTGTAATGATACAAAACAGACATCAGTCTATATTGGATGTGTTCCAATTGATGCGTATCTGCTCGTTTGTTAATTTCCGGTATAAATTCGTTCCGAGGAACTTCAGCGATACAAGTCCGTTCTTGATTAAAACTAGTTTATTCTTTCTCGATACAACTTTGTAATACACAGTAATTTCACAATCAATACGTTTCTTGTCTCTTTACTTAACAGCCTTTATAACACACGCTATAAATCACAGTGATTCACACACTTTACTTACGGTGCCTACTGTTCGCTTGACTCAATTATCTATCTCTATATCTATCTATCTATCTATGCAATTGCGCTGGTTTTTCTCGCCAGGCTTATATACTAAAAAAGAGGGCGCCTCGAACAAACTTGGGCCTCCCCGATAATTCATGATCCTTCCAGAAACTCCAGCGCGCATGCTCCCAGCGTCACGCGACTTCCGCTGTCGTAACACAATATATTTAATATGGCTAGAAATATTTGAATGAAATTTAGACATAGCGATAACTGACCTCGAAGCACTGAGCAACAAGTATATGATATGACAGACAGGATATTCGTTTGCGTTACATTTTTAAGTATTTAAACTGCATACTTTTTGATTTCGTTATTATATTTTCTACATTAATTTGTCTTCGTAATATCATTATTTTGTTTGTTTATTTGTTTTGAATTTCGCGCAAAGCTACACGAGAGCTATCTGCGCTAGCCGTCCCTAATTTAGCATTGTAAGACTAGAGGGAAGGCAGCTAGTCATCACCACCCACCGCCAATTCTTAGATTACTCTTTTTACCAACGAATAGTGGGATTAACCATCGCTTTATAACACCCCCACGGCTTAAAGGGTGAGCATGCTTGGTGAGACGAGGATTCGAACCCGCAGATTGCGAGTCGAGCTTCCTAACCACCTGGCCATGCCGGTCCATATCATTATTTACTTAACAACAAAATATTCAGCTTGAAATGTTAGCCAAAATAGTATGTTATTATTAATAACAATTTCATCATTATTTTTAGTATATTAGCAAGAGCGATAAGACGTACTTATTTCTATTTGTTATCTTAAAAACTTCGACATGGATAAATGACCTCACAAATTGAAATGTACTTATTTTGTTTATTTTTGTTATTACAATGTGCTGTAAGACCTCCCCCCTCTCTCTCTCTCCATCCCCCCTTTTCTTTCGAATATAATTTATGGTACTTGTTATTATAGACATTAGTATTAGGCCTATTATATTTCTTAACATTGCACTCTTTAGGACTAGATAAAGGATTCAGTGTTTAAAATGTGATAAGTCTAATACTATTGCCTTGTAACAAATAAAATTAGTTATAATCATGCTTCGCCAGCTTGGTAAAGACATTTATACCAAAACAATTGTTGCCTTTCGAATATTTTTCCAAGAGTTGATATATAATTTTCGTGCTAAGTTATTGGGTTCCCATTGGCCAAGTAAAATTACGTCATAACTGACGTTTACCGATGATCATATGGATCGTGCCAACTATTCAAAGAAAGAAGAAAGGAGGTACAGACGCTGGAGTAGGGCATGATTTATATTACCGTCAGTTTGGGTTGTTCTCTATTGTAGCCGTTCTTTTAGCATTTAGTTAATCGAAACATTTTACCGTATTGTACTTCGGTTATATGTCAGAAATTTTAATTAGATCTTTCAATTTTTTTATGAAATATGTATTTAAATTTTAAAAGTATAGCGATTTTGCTGGTTTATTATAATGTATGATAGTCTGCCGTTTCAGTCGAGGTAGCCTTTGTTATCAGTGCTTGTTTAGGCCTAACGATACAAATATATATATGCATATCCAGTCCGTCTTGGAAGTTTCCAGCATAAATTTTGAAGCATATATATCAAAATGCCATTATCTCGAAATAAATCTTCTGTTCCTAGCATCACTGGAACGAACAACATTTCTGCAAGCGAAGCAAATCTTCCAAAATTACCCGAAAATATAGAAAAAGTTACGTTGCCAGTTATTAACAATAGCCTCACAAGTAATGGTTTTGGATTAAATTACCAAAGAGCAACCCTACAAGCCCACCAGCTGCCCAGTGAAAACAATCCTGAAGATAATAACAGGACTTTTAGAAGTGGAAGGCTTACAACGAAGTCTATCAGTGTGCACAGTAATCCATACATGCCTCAAGCTGGAAATTGTGATGAAACATCTGATAACAGAAATGTGTCTGGAAAAAGGACTCTTGTGGCTACCCCAGAGCAGGTAATGAAATTATATATGCATAAACTCACACCATATGAACGCCACGAAATATGCAGTTACCCACAAGTGTACTTTATTGGTGCCAATGCAAAGAAAAGACAGGGTGTTATAGGGGCTCCGAGTAATTGTGGCTATGACGACGAGCATGGTTCGTATTTACACGTACCTCATGACCATATAGCATATCGATACGAAATGCTTAAAATTATTGGTAAAGGTAGTTTTGGTCAAGTGGTGAAAGCATACGACCACAAGACCCATCAACATGTAGCCCTGAAAATGGTTCGTAATGAAAAGCGTTTTCATCGACAGGCTCAGGAAGAAATTCGTATACTGGACCACCTTCGTAAACAAGATAAAGACAATGGCATGAACATTGTTCACATGCTAGAGAACTTTACATTCCGAAACCATACATGTATAACGTTTGAATTACTCAGTATTAATTTGTACGAGCTCTTAAAAAAGAACAAATTTCAGGGTTTTAGCTTGCAGCTGGTTCGTAAGTTTGCTCATTCGTTACTTCAGTGTTTAGATGTTTTACAGCGGAATAAAGTAATTCATTGCGATCTGAAACCGGAGAATGTATTGCTGAAACAGCAGGGTCGTAGCGGGATTAAGGTAATTGATTTCGGATCCAGTTGCTATGAGCATCAAAGAGTGTACTCTTACATTCAGTCGCGATTCTACAGAGCTCCAGAAGTGATCCTCGGGGCTAAATATGGGACATCAATTGACATGTGGAGTTTGGGATGTATCCTGTCAGAACTTGTTACAGGCTGCCCTTTGTTGCCAGGAGAGGATGAGTTGGACCAACTCGCTTGCATCATCGAGCTTCTGGGTGTTCCACCAAGGAATATACTGGACCAATCAAAACGTGCTAAAAACTTCATAAATTCTAGAGGGCATCCTCGGTACTGTACTACGACAACTCTTCCCGATGGTACTGTAGTGCTTAATGGAGGTCGGTCAAGACGAGGGAAGATGAGAGGTTCTCCAGGCAGCAAGCAGTTTACAACAGCTTTGAAAGGTTGTGACGATCCCAGATTCCTTGACTTTATCAAGAAGTGTCTGGTGTGGGATCCAGCTCTTCGCATGACTCCAGCTGTTGCTTTGAAACACGAATGGTTGAGACGTCATTCAAGTAAAGTATCACAGAGCACAGACAGTTCTGGCTCCTTGGTAAAAGCAGAAGTGGGTAATACAGCTGTTAACAGTAATGGCAATGTTGGTACGTTGATAACTCGGATGAACACCATAGGAAGTACCAAGTCTCGAGTGACAATAACCATGGTTGGCGAGAACGGAACAAAAGCAGTTGGGAACCAGAGCAAGTTGCCAAAAATTGCAAACTCGGTCACTTGATGATCGTCTCGTTTAGGACCAAAGAAATGCTAGCCAACATTAGAACTGTCCTAGTGGCAGGTTACCGTTTCCTGACGACTCTTGCTGATGTTGCTATCTTCGCGAGTCGAAAAGGAAGATTTGGTAGTTTTATAGGATTTTATCATCTGCAATAGGAACTATCCGTGACGACGAATTGTCTGGTGAACATGCTAGTGTGTTGTTTATATTTCCTGCAGAAGTACTTGGTGAATACGTAGTCTGTTGCTAAGCTTTCTCTTGTAAACTCTCTCTCTTTATAAACTGTGCTTTGGTTGATAGGTTTGAAAAGAATGTTGTACTTATTAACTTCTTATTTTAAAAATGTTAATTGTTATATCGGATAAAGCATCAAAATATTTATATGTAGATAACTGACATTTAAGGCAGCGTGTACATTGAACCTTGTTAATTGTAGGTATAATATTTAATAGGAATGACGGATTCCTAACGTGGTTGTCACTGGTGTGTGTGTGTCTACAAACTAAGATTGAAAACCTAATACTCATTTTAAAGTGAGGCATTTTTTTTCAACTTTAGTATGTTGGTAATGATTGGTTTTCATTCCCACACCTGTGCAGGTGTGAAGTTGTACGTTTTAATCTAATTATAACTAAAGTATTAATTTGATATGTCTTGTAAGTAAACTAAAAAATTTATATAAACCTTAGGCTTGGATAATTAATTTTTATGAAATATAAAAATTAGTAAATTACAGTGTTTATAAAGTTTGTGTTGGTATTGGACACTGAGTGTCTATTGGCTTTTTTATGATGTAAATTTAAAAACAATTAGATCTTACAACCTCAGAGGGTTGTTATGTTACTGATTGAATTTGTTTTTCTCTTAATCTAAAACCTCTGACATTTTGAAATATTCGCATTGTAAATACAGTGTTTGTTTGTTTTGTTTTTGATAATTTAAAACTGTCTTCGTCCGATCAAAGCTAGCTATTTACATAATGAGAGCTAAAGATTAACCCAGTAATTAATAATATAGCTAATTTAATATACTGGTTTAATGAAGTGGTAGAACCATAACTTAATGACAGAAATGTGTAGCTTAGTTTTGTATTTCATAGTGTATGGATATCACCTTTAAAAAGTAGCCGATATTTCTTTTTTTGACAGAAAAAAATATTCATAAATAGAGTGCATAAAATTTTTTTTAAAGAACCTTTTTAACATGAAAATGAGGATAACATGTACTGCCATCTTTTACATGTGCTGCTGTAAAGTTCAGCCATTCATATCAGTATTAAATCAGTGTGTACCACATTGACGTGTATCGGTTCACCCAACTCTGGTACACAACTTTTTATTATCCAATTTTTTGAGGGGAACTGTCCCCCTTAATTTTTTCGATGGACATCTGAGGTGTACGTCGAGAGAAGGAAATAGTCAGCTTGCTTGTGGCTAAAGTTCTTTGTCCTTGTAAAGTATTTGTGGTGTTTGTTTAGAAATGGTCAATAAATAAGTAGACCAATAAATGCTTAAAAAGAGCGAAAACTTACAAAGGTTTGGATAAAGATTTACAAGTTTAGTCCCCCCCACCCCGTCAGTGGCTCAGCTATAAATCTGAGGGCCCCCTACTGCTAAGAACTGGGTTTAGATACTCGTGGTGGGCACAACACAGATAGCCCATTGTGTTCTATTACTGCTAGTGCTGTTGTGAAAGTTGTAATACATGTTTAAACAAAATTATAAGTGGTTTACAATACAGAATTACCTGGTGTAGGCCTTTATCTGAAATATTTCAAATAAATTCAATTTCAGAGGTGAATGTGTGGTTTTACTTTTATGTTTCATTTGAAGTATGTCAGAAAGAAATGTTAATTTGTTTTATTTTTATAAATACTGTGTTCTTAAAATAAGTAAAGTTGAATGGAACAAACTAAACAAAAAGGTCTTATCCATCTCTGATGTGCTGGTCATATAGATGTCACTTTACTGACTATGTTGTTATTACTTTGAATGACTAAGGAAAATTATGACTTTCCTCCCCTTTAACTGTAACAGAAACAAAATTTATGTCCCTCAGCAGTTGCAAAATTTCAGGATTTTAAAAATGTTTAACAACTTGTCTTTTTTAAAATTTAAACCTTTCTTTTGTGAAAGTTGAAAACTTGTTATAAAATAGTGATATAGCATTTTATTGGAGAAAAACAAATTAATTATAAACTTCCAATATATATATATATTTAGAATAACTACTGGAAATATGAGTTTGGAAATTAACTTATTAAGATTTATAAATGTGGAATGGTGTGAGCGGTAACTTGATAGATCTTAGGCCTAGATTAGCAGTAGGCCTAATCTCGCACTCAGGTTCACTAACGTTAATCTAACCTTAGATCTAGGCATACATTTGGCTTGGGCTGTTTCTTTCTGGACTTAGGTTTGATGTAGATTTAATTAGCCAATCTGAGAAGATGCTGTTGAGAGACTCGAGTCTTAGGTCAAGAAATGAGATCTAATATTTATCAGTTATACTTTCGTCAAGTTTCATGCATTCAGTATTGTCATGTCAGCCAAAGATATAAAACCATTCAAGAAATAGGTATCTTTAATAAATGTCTATATCATAGGCTAGTACTAAGCTTGCATTATAAAAGGTACCAGTCCAAAAATTACAGACTCTCAGTGCAACATATAATATCTACACTAAGTGAGTCCCTTAGCCTTTAAGATATTTAGGCAAGACAAAGACTGTAAACTTTTGAACTGTATATTTAAGTATTCTGCTACAAAGAAGAATACTTTATAAAAATGACCCCCCCCCCCCCCCCTCCAACAAAATTTTCTTTTCTCTTGGCAGAATGGAGGATAACAAAAATTATGTTAAAAAATAGAATAACTTTAGGAAGTGTTTTAATTGAATCACGTTTAGATTTGAATTCACTTCATCGTGGTTAGTTGTCATTGAATTTCATGTTAAGTTATCGTGACAGCAGCTAGTTACACATTGGATAGAAGTCTGTGTGCAGAAATCATTAGTCTTGTGGTGGCAGCTTGAGATATTAACAGAGAAGTTAACAGTGTGTGTTAATACATGACCTCACAATGTAGTTTATAAAGGATAAGTTGAGAAAAGAACACTGAGAGTCTGTCGTCCATTACAGTCTTGTATTTGGTGAAGATGATTCCAGAAGTTAATGATACTGTAGCTAATAGTCCATCACAGTCTTGTATTTGGTGAAGATGATTCCAGAAGTTACTAGTACTGTAGTTAATAGTCCATCACAGTCTTGTATTTGGTGAAGATGATTCCAGAAGTTAATGATAATGTAGCTAATAGTCCATCACAGTCTTGTATTTGGTGAATATGATTCCAGAAGTTAATGGTACTGTAGCTAATAGTCCATCACAGTCTTGTATTTGGTGAAGATGATGCCAGAAGTTAATAGTGATGTAGTTAATAGTCCATCACATCTTTTGTTTGGTGAAGATTATTCCAGAAGTTAATGGTAATGTAGTTAATAGTCCATCACAGTCTTTTGTTTGGTGAAGATGATTCCAGAAGTTAATGGTAATGTAGTTAATAGTCCATCACAGTCTTGTATTTGGTGTAGATGATTCCAGAAGTTAATGGTACTTTAGCTAATAGCTTGTAATCAAAGGAAAATATCACTAGTTGTTGTAGTTGGTAATGTCTTGTAGCAAAACGTTCTTGTTAACTAAAACTGTGAAGTCTGAGAAATATCAGTTCTGTAACAGCTTACAGTAGTGTACTGGACTGAAGTCTGAAAAACACCAGTTTTGTAGCAACTAATAGTAACATACTGGACTGAAGTATGGACAACTCCACCTTTATTTCTAGTGAGAGTAACGTACAGGACTGAAGTCTGGACAACTCCACCTTTATTTCTAGTGAGAGTAACGTACAGGACTGAAGTCTGGACAACTCCACCTTTATTTCTAGTGAGAGTAAC